TTGCCACTTACAGCGCGACACCAAGCTATTTGTCTGCGTCTCTCAAATACGGCAAAATCTGAAGAGTTGGACTTTGATGATTTAGTATTCTTATGGGCCAATGCTGGTATTGTAGTCAGTTTAGGCAATAACCCTAAAAATCAGGCCTATCTAAGGGCTGCCATAATGAAGATTTTAGAAACGAAGAGTTTCATTAATCTCCCTTCAAGTCTGCTAAAGAAGATAAAAGGAAACTCTTGCTTCCTAAACAAAATGATTTATATCTGTGGGTGAAATATCTCTCTGACCTTAACAGAAACATTCCACAAATGCAGTATTTGGGAGAAGAACTTATAACAAATTACCTCGGACTTGCTTGCAGATCGGCTTGTTCAAATCCATCCAGTACTGAAAAAAAAACTTCCTGACATTAACAAAGAAATATTTTATTAATCGTTGGCGAGAAACGAAGAAATATGTAGTTAGAATAGGCAAATTTCAATGAATAAGCATCATAAATGGAGATTAAAACATGGGAATCGAAGCCCCTGCGGCCATGGCTTATGCTAAAGCCTCATAAATAAGCAGAATCTTAATAATAAGAGAGAAAACGCCTTTGGAATTATAAATGTTCGAACTTTAGTTCTGTATACCCGATGTTTACTGAAATCCTGGTACCGCAAACCAAAATAATCCTTTTCGACGATGTTCAAGCATTCGCATACATAGTCAAGTATAACTTGAGCGTTCGATGTCTTCTGAAATACATGCCACATTCACACTTGCCTCACTTCAAATTACAAGTTCCAAAAGGAAGTATTAGCGAAAAAACCTCGTGTTTGAATTGGACTATTTGATGTTTGAATTTATTAAATTTAGGCCAGAGATTGATTAACAGCTATTGGGGAGGGAAGTAGTGGTAAAGTGTGTCAATACGGCATAATCAAAAAAGTGTCAAAGCGGAATTTCACAAACAATTACTAGAAGTGAAAAAGCCTAATATTGGGAGTGCCCACTCCTAACAATTATTACAAGTGGTAAAGCTGAAGAGGACGAAATGGAAGACGGGAAGAAGGGGATTGAGGACATCATCGATAACTGTCACGAGGAAAGAAAGTTTAGAAAAAAATGCGTTTACAGTTACAAAAAAGAAAAAAATAAAATAAAATTTGTCCCACTTTAAAATCTTTCCTCTTGAAACTCACTGCAAATAAATAAGCGGCCAAAAAAAGGAGCAGCTGCTCCTAAACTAACAATTACTGAAAGCACGTGATTCAGTACAGAAATGCCTGGCACAGATGGGTACCAGCTGAGAGAGGTAATCAACAAATCCCTACAAAATCTGTTGCGAAAATCTTGATGAACAGCGTAGCACACTGGATTATTTGGCCTCAATAATCAAGGCTCTAAAAGCAAATTCTGAGAAAAAAAAGTTGGAAAAATTATGTATTCCCCCCACCCCCCAGCTCTTCTCTCCTCACTAGGCCTCTTTATACTGCAATCAGACGATGACTGCCAAAAATCAAACACGTAAAAAACAAGCCTAGTCAACAGGTCGTTTTCAAAATTCGAAAAAAGTTAACTACACATATACTTGGCCAACTCAAACAGCAAAGTGAAGACTGAATATTCCAATTTTGAAATCAACTAGTTCATTTTTTATCGTTCATGAAATACCTAAATAGAAACTCAAAAAATATTTTCTCTAAAAAAAAATCTTTTCAAAAAAAAATTCCCTCAAAAATTTTGCGGGAAAAAATCGCGCACTGAGATGATTCAAAAGTGTGAATATTGAAAAAAAAAACATTGGGTACCTTGAATTCCTGACAGATTGTTTCATTGTCATCTAGCAACTGCACTGTGGTCTTGTAGTCTCGGGTGGACAGGAGACTTGTTCGGGCGCTGAGACGGCCCAGGAATGACGATGGTATGATGGCGTTCTCGTTCGCTGGCATTTCCCTCGTTGCTGATGCTGCTACTGGCCGCCGGCTTTTCTCCTCCTCTCGTTGTTCGCGCTTCCGATTACGTCCGATACAACACGCAACTGGTAGCACCCTTGGTGACATTATAGTTATATCAGTTGTAGCAAATTGAAGAAATTAAACAGCAGAAAAATACAACAAGCAACCGATGAATGATAAAATAACCCAGAAGAAGTGCAATTTGAAGCGAACAGCGCAGCCTGTTTTCGCGCACCGTACAGATACGATAGGAAAACAGGAAGAATTCCAAACAGCAACAGCAGCAGCAGCAACTGGTGAGAAGAACGATGGAAACTGTGAGAAGACAGGGGGAGGGGGTTTACGCCACCAA